AGTATATATCTATAAACATAATGATTTTTTGTAATCACAAAGATATATATAAATCTAATTACCGGTGCAATAGAGTAAAACTATTGTGTTATTAATTTAAGGATTGAATCTATTAGTAATCAAATTTTATTTTGTAAGATAAATTTAATATTTAATTTTTAGAATCAATATTTAAAAAAATTAATTTTCTTAAATACATCAATATAAAGTAAAGGGTTGCAATGTAAGATCGTCATAGAAAAAATTAATTTCAAAATATAGGAAAACTAGTTTACAAACATTTTAACTATAAATAAAAAAATAAAAACTATTTATTCACACAGACTACAGTAAAAAGGAAAAAAAAGAGCCATTAATCAATCTTAATTACATTTTAGTGTAAATCCCGCATCCCATAATTAAAGAATAAAATAAAATGAAAGAGTGAAAGCAAAAGCCATTAATTAATGCATAACAATCTTGGTGTCAGCTGAATCAACAGGAACAATAGCAGGTTCTGTCGATGAAGATTCATCGAGATGGATATGCGCAAAGTCCTTTATAATCGCTGTTCTTTCCCTGTAAAGATTTTCCTGCTTTTCCTCCTCAGCCTTTTCAACCTTCTCCTTGGTCATCACACTAACATCTTCTGCTGCGTTTTAAACTGCACTAAATGCATTTGAAAGCCACAAAGCTCCAGCAGATACATAACGATTGCTCATTATAACAGATCCTGCACTACTTGCCTTCTGCTCGGCAACGGCAAAGGCAGACTTCGTTTTTTCAGATACTTGGAATCGTTCATCCATCTCTTTCAACTTGTCATTTACCTCAGCTGTCCCGATGCTTAGCTTTTCACTCAGACCCATTTTACGATCAATGGAAGCTACTGTGGCAGATGCATTTGAGGTCAATTGGTGCTGCTCGTCAAAAACCTTTGCCTTGTTGATAGCATCCTTTCCCAAGACGAAGCCCTTTGCTAGCATTGTGCTGACCATATCTTCAGCCTTCTTAACAGTAGAATCAGTTTCAGCTAGCTTTGTCTCCTTCATAGGGCAGAAGAGAAGAGAATGTTAAGAGAAAAAGAGACTATATAGATTGGACTTCTGCAAAAATACATTACTCCCCGCACTCACGCACCCATTCAGTTTCCCCTTCCCCTCAAGCGAAGCATGTACTTTTAAATAACAAGAGCCATTAACTATTTTTTCATAAAGTAAGCCAACGAATGAGGAACATTAACTAATTTCTCATGAGGTAGGCCAACAAATCAGGCGTTTAAGCATGAGAAGAGTACTAAAGGAGAGGACTTGCCTCAATAGCCATTTATA